ACCCGCCTCAGACTCCCAAAGTGCTGGGATTACAGGCTTGAGCCACCACACCCGGCCTGAAAAGAGTGGTTATTCTTACAAAAATGTGACAGAATTGAGGAGCCCTGTGTGAAATGTGTGTGAAACAACCTAGACACTGATGGAAGAAGTGAAACATGGAGACAAGTGGAATAAAACTCATTTAAAAAATTTGAGGCACAGAACAACAAAAGGATATCCTACTTTAATAATTTAAAGCAAAAAGGAAAATATTAAGTTTTTGAATTTTCTTCCTGTTGTCTAAGTTTTCTCAATCACTTTATCATTTATACCTCTTATTTGGTAGTCAGTCTATCTTCTAGTCTAGGACTGGTGTTCATACTTTATCCCTGATTGTAAACTTCCTGAGAAATACTGTTCCTGTGCCTCACACAGAGCCACGGCCAGAGAAGAATCTGTGATTCCTTGATAAATTAATAACTCAGGTTGACTAACTGCCACATGTAATACAGCACTTAATTTAAAAAAAATCAACTCAAAGGTTTTATCCATCATTCACATATGACTCTTTTCCTGTCTTCTTCATGAGCCTCAGCTCTAATGAAGAGGGCCAACAGGAGAATGTCTGGATACTTCTGGTGTGAGAATGGATGAATGAGAGGCAGGCCTTCTCTGACAGCTCTATTGCATGACATTAACCTGGAAAAGTGGGAAGGTATAAGGTTGTGAGCTAGCAGTCTTATTAGTTGTGTGAGCTCAAATGATCCTCTTGACCTTGATTCAAAGGTATTATGACTAGGTCCTTCAATGCTACCCTGGACAAAGGTTTAGAGGGTTAAGAATGACTCAACTGAGTGGTACCTGAAATTCTGTGAGCAGTATTTTTGCTGAGATTTTTCTGTGGTTCTATTCTGGTTTTCAGAAAAATTCCCCCTTTAAAAAATTACTGAAATATCAAAATATTTTTTGAATGTTTGGGAGAATGTATGCTTTATGTCTCCGGTATAGATTTGAAGGGAGTACTAGGAAATAAGAATTTGGGATAGGATAACAAAACAATACCAGGGGAAAGTGGAAAAGCTACCTGTTCCAAGGTATAATGTGAAATGTTGTAATCTGGCTGTTAGAACTTACAATTATATATTTTGAGACGAAATTTCTTTTAGTGAAAGGTAATAGTAATAAGCTGCTGAGAGATTTTCCCCCCTCTTTGAACTCCAAGGAAAATTGTCGCAAATTTAGTGGTACTAGGCCCCCTTCGAATGGGTCCTAGAAATGTTACCCTAAGCCATGTGATTAAACAACTTAAACTAAAAATAGTTTTGGTGAAAAATTCTGTACAAATGACTGTTTGAAGCCTATTCTAAAGATTAGGCTCTAATCCTTAAGCTTTATTAGCTCCTCTTGATACAAAGCATTTTCAATTTTATTTTAAAAGAGGCAAACAGCTCCTCTCCTAAACCTACCAATCCACTACCTTAACAAACAGTTTTCCAAATATTAGAAAGTAAAGGAGTAGGCATCATGACTTTTTTACTGTTATGTTCTATAACATTTGAAAGGACCATTGGTGGTCTAACTGTATTCACTGACCTTGTAGTGATTTTTGACTAAATAGATAAGGCCAACTATAAATAAATCTGCAAGAGAGCAAATCAGTTATCTGGTATCTGACATGCTTTAAAAACTCTGCCCTTTAACACTGCTTAAAAACCAGGGTAAATATAATTGTTTTGTAACAGACTAGGTAACAATCTAAGGCAGTATAAAAATAAGATGTTAATGAAATTTTCTCAGTGATATTTATGTTAAATACATGAAGTATGGTACACTGCTAGAATAATGAGGAGGAAAAGCGTTATTTCTCCATGATGATATTATGGTGTTATCACTGAACCTGAAATAGTCTTAACAGGGAAAACTGGTACTGGTTTTAAACAACTTCCAGAATGGATGGCTCCATATTAGCCATGCAAAGATGAAAATTATTGTCTTTGTTAAATATTCTCCACTAAGGGTAATTTTATTTGGACAGTCACTGGGATACATTTTGCAGAAAGCCAAGTTATTAAGTATCAAACAATTTATGGGATCCTTACTGAGATTTTCTACAACCACTATGGGTTATCAGTAACTTTTGCTTCAAAAAAATTTTTAGACAAGCAATTGCTAAGTTTTGTAATGTGAAACCTGAGGTATTTACTCAAATATATGTTCATCTGCTAGAGTTCTTCCAATGTTGCTTCTGAAAGAAAATTGGCAGTTTTCCTATCAGGCCTATTCTGAAGTAGATGACTAAGTAGTCTCAAATACTAGGAAGTATTTAACAAAAGTTGAATTTTACATTTTTGTGAGTCTTTTTTGGTTTGTTTTTTAAAATTTCTGTTGTAAATGATCTTAATTCTTTTAGAGAAAGAAAATTTTATTTAATCATCCTTATGGAGTAGAGACAAAGACAATTCATACATCAAAAAGCAATCACCTGAGTACTTGAAACTATTTAAGGGGAAGACTTAACAGCCACTGGAGTCTTTTTTCAAAAACCTATTTCAAGAGAAAAGGAATACTTCTGGAAATGGAATTCTTTGGCATCCATGGAAACAAAATTATTTTCTTGGTTATTCGCCATCAGAGAATAAGAGAGAGAAAATAAAACCATACCTTGCAAAATATATCAGTTAAAGCAGGTACAGCATTCCTTAATTTCATAGTTGCCACATGCTCAAATATGTTTAGTAATATTTTCAGAGAAGGCTAGATAAAACAAAAAAATTACACTCATTTTCAGATCTTCTTTCAGTACAACTTAAATTTCTCAAATTCATTTATGTTGAAAAACACAGGTGGTCTCTAGGAAGTATACAGAAATACAACAAATACAGAAATTCAACTGCTAAATTCAAACAATGACTATGACAGAGAAATTAATGTAAAACATTAAATAACATATATTTTCAGGCTACTTACCTGTATTTTAACCATTATGCTGAGGTTCATTATTTGAAATACTTCTTTCAATAAACCATGTTTGAGTAAAGAATTTAGAAGGTCATTTAGCACTTGTAAATCAAAGTGTATACCTGGGGGAAACTTTCTGTAGTATTCCATAAATATGTTTACTGCAAATGAAAATATATATACTAAAGTCATTTGCTGCTTTAGATAGCCATATTTCTTAAATTAGATAATTTTTCTATATTTAAAGGTAAAATAGTATGAATTCAATATAAATTCTTGAAAGGTACAGTTCTAGTATTAGAAATATTTGATGGAAATTAAAACAAAAGTCAAAATGGCAACAATATGTGAAGTCAACCAAGCATGTTTAGCATAGAGTAACTCACGTGCTACCTAAAAAGAATAGGTCCAAACTTCCATTCTCATACATCATAATGTCAATACGAACTCCTAGGGAGTCAAGCTCCGAGGCAGTCTTGAGGCGGTGGCCTTGGTACACATGTGAAGTTGTTTAGTTTGGTACTGGATGCAGACTGTTTTGACACATACCCATTCTTGTTGCTTTAAACCCACCAACATGTTGACATTGAGTATTTTTTTTAACCTCTCCCTGCCTTGTCATAGGTGGGGATGTTTTTGATTTCAGTTTGTGGTTGTGAAAATTCTACTAAAAATTACAATGCTGATTAGTTTTCTTTGAGGAAGTACTTTCTCCTTCCTTCATGCTCATCCAAATCCTTAACCTTTTTTTTTTTTTGAGATGGAGTCGCGCTCTGTTGCCCAGGCTAGAGTGCAGTGGTGCGATCTTGGCTCACTGCCACCTCCGACTCCCTGGTTCAAGTGATTCTCCTGCCTCATCCTCCTGAGTAGCTGGGATTACAGGCACGCACTACCACACCCAGCTAATTTTTGTATTTTTAGAAGAGATGGGGTTTCACCATGTTGACCAGGATGGTCTCGATCTCCTGATCTTGTGATCTGCCCACCTCAGCCTCCCACCGCGCCTGGCCTAAATCCTTAATTTTCTATGTAACATGATATTTCCAATTTTTCCCCATTACTTTTACTAAAATTATTTAAATTGGGGTTCTTTCATTGATCATTTTTTCCTCATTCCAAAATTTCCCAAATTAAAATCTGTACACCTTAACTGCCTTAGTACAAATACTTTTGGTTTTGTGTTAATTATTTCTCCTAGAAATACTCATTACTAGCTGGATTACCTAGTGTTGTTTGGGAAAACTAGTAGCTACTGACAAAGTTCAGTGGCACAAGTGAAAAATTAAAGCATCCAGATACATAAAGCAAGTTCTTAATTACCTACAGAGAGACTCAGACTCCCACACAATAACAGTGGGAGACTTTAACACCCCGCTGTCAATATTAGACAGATCAACGAGACAGAAAATTAAAAAGGATATCCAGGACTTGAACTCAGTTCTGGACCAAGCAGACCTAATAGACATCTACAGAACTCTCCACCACAAATCCACAGAATATACATTCTTCTCAGCATGACATCACACTTATTATAAAATTGACCATATAATTGGAAATGTTAAAGTTTTAATAATGTTTAAAACTTTAATAATATAGTATAACAAAATTCAAATCTTTTGTAAAGTTTTTTACATATTACAATTATTTTCCCTGGGCACATACAGATACATTCTTGCTGCTATACATTTTTTTTTTGGAGACAGAGTTTCTCTGTGTTGCCAGGCTGGAGTGCAGTAGCACGATCTCGGCTCACTGCAACCTCCGTCTCCCCGGTTCAAGTAATTCTCCTGCCTCAGCCTGCTGCGATACTTTTGGCAGTATTTATACAGTTGCCTGTACAGAAGCAGATCGAATGATAAAATAGTAAACCCAGAGTATTATTATAGCTTATTAATAAAACTGAAATTATAGACATTCAAAAAAGGTGCAGTTAAATCTATGTTAGCCAGTGTGTAGTCTACTAATTGACATGCAACCTTCCTCCTTTTTGTCATTATTTATTTATTTATTTATTTGAGACAGAGTCTTGCTTTGTCACCCAGGCCGGAGTGCAGTGGCACAATCTCAGCTCACCGCAACCTCTGCCTTTCTGGTTCAAGTGGCTCTCCTGCCTCAGTCTCCTGAGTAGCTGGGATTACAGGTGTGTGCCACTACGCCTGGCTGTTTTTCTTGTATTTTGAGTAGTGACGGGGTTTCACCATGTGGGCCAGGTTGGTCTTGAACTCCTGACCTCAGGTGATCTGCCTGCCTCAGCCTCCCAAATTGCTGAAATTATAGGCATGAGCCACCACACCGGAACTCATTATTTTAAAAATGTTAATATATTTTCTGCATTGAAAATAATAATCTTCTTGTCCAGGTGCGGGGGCTCAGGCCTGTTATCCCAGCACTTTGGGAGGTTGAGGTGGGTGGACCACCTGAGGTCAAGAGTTTGAGACCAGCCTGGCCAACATGGTGAAACCTCATCTCTACTAAAAATACAAAAAAAAATTAGCAAGACATGGTGGTGCACGCCTGTAGTCACAGCTACTTGGGGAGGTACTGAGGCAGGAGAATTGCCTGAACCCAGGAGGCAGAGGTTTCAGTAAGCCAAGATCGAGCCACTGCACTCCAGCCTGGGGGTCAGAGGGAGCCTCTGTCTCAAAACAAAACCAAAAACAAATGATCCTCTCTTGTTAAACTGTTGGGTAGAAACTGTCTGAATAAGAGCCGGGCGCGGTGGCTCAAGCCTGTAATCCCAGCACTTTGGGAGGCTGAGGCGGGTGGATCACGAGGTCAAGAGATCGAGACCATCCTGGTCAACATGGTGAAACCCCGTCT